CCCCAAAACCCCAAAACCCCAAAACCCCGAGATACAAAGATTAATTGAATTGACTAGAAAATATTCAATAATAGCTTTGTAGGAATATTGCTCCATGAATATTGCTTGCAAACATTAGACCTTAATAGGCCCAAAGCTATCGTAATCATCACAGTAGAGCTTAGGGTTCGTCAATCTGAAGATCCCTGAGCTGCTGCTTCTCCTCCTCTCTGTCTGTTCCACTGTCGTTACCTGCTTTCTTCTTGTAGAAATCTTGCTTTCTCTTGAGGATAAACTGTTTAATCTCATAGAGTCCTCTTCTCGGGTACTTTATGGTATCTTCATTAAATATTCTCAGACTCATTCTCGGGCTGGATCTCCGAGCCTTCAATGCTTCCATGTTTGTCTTTATCGAGGAGGTAGGACACATACATTTTGAGTTCACTCAGAGACTGTGAAATGTTCACAGTGTCCAACTCTTTGACCAGCTCCTTGTGTAAATGAACCTGTCTCCTGATACTCTCAATCTTTTTGAGTTTGCTGGATGTTTTAGGCTCTTGAGCGGCAGAGTCTATGTTATGAAAAGTAGACTTCCTCATATTTTTCTCCAGTGAGCCTGGCTTATTATTCAAAGGTTGGTGATCAAATTGTAAGTTAAGTATCCTGTTCTTCTTTCTTTTGCGAGATTTGCGGGTATCTCGTGAAGATGGATATGTAAACCATCCATCTCGATTCTTGATCTGTTTTTCAATCGCTTGTATGTCTCTTTTGTACAATATAGTTGATATCCTCCTGATGAACAAAGATGCCAACAGATAAAGGATTTCATAAAGACCTCCTATCTGGCCGAATATGTCAAGAATACTAATAACACTTGTACCGTGCACTGTGATAACATCTGACATTGTAAACTTAGCAGCAACATAAGTATCATTCCCTGAAACAGCTGTCTGCATTTTACTCGAAGGATCAAAATCCAAAAATTCACCAGTCTTTTCACCTAAAAATACAGAATTCCAATCACTGATGCTATACTGAGACCTGACAAGGTTATAATCATTGATGGTATTGTATTTGTACCTCATTGTTATTTCATATTGCGTCTTCACATAAGTTTTGACTGGCTCCACTGGGTCGAAGGAGTCGTAATACTTACTGATTGTATGAATGTACAAAGATGTATATTGGTACTGTACCCTATCGATCTGTTCTTGTGTACATATTAATTCGTCTCATAAATAAGCTACAAGATTGAAGCCTCCAATAGTGCTCAAGGGACTATATGTCAACAGTTTGGAATCATTCTAATTCCAACAGATTGGTAGGAGCACACACTCTTAATGATACTATTGATAATATAGATATATTCGGAACTACGCGAGAAAAGGCCTAAACTTTATTAAAGAAATAAGAGCAATACCTAATTCTAATTCTTCCAAGAACTAAGAAAAATTACAAGAAGAAAGATTCAGTATATAAAAATGTGAATAAAGGCAAGAATAAGCATGGCTCATTAAGAGAAATGAACCAAAATGAAGAAACTTACTGCTCTAGAGAGCATTGAAACCTCATGATGCATAAAACAAAGGAGGATTAGGAGCCACTAAGATATTTTCAACCAAGCAGCTAACAATCTGCGGAGATACTCCAGCTATCAGTATGCAACATTAAGGATACTCTGATCAAGCTATCCCTCAATGCCTGTTTTCATATTAGTAATACAATGCTGACTACAGAAAAAGAAGCTTCAAATAAGAGAGGAAGCAAGCGAAGTATTAAATTATGATAGATGAAATGCAACTCAAGATAAACAGTCGCTACAGATTCCATTCAAGCAGCAGCTGGTTGATATCAGTAGATAACTAAGCTTACATATCTCCATTCTCATTTCTCTTCTTCTCGTTGACGATTTTGTACAAATCGCTTCGCTTGGCACAGTACATTGGGTAACTGTGGTAAATCTGATTCTTAGGGTCAGACAGATCGTATGGGAAAGTAGAGTTGTTACATTTTTCAACTTCAAAAGAGGTTTCAGCATTGACTTCATTTTCATTGACGGTCCTTTGCATGGCAACACCTATGATCCCTAGCTTTTCTCCAATAATATCAACTTCATTGTTATTTCCAGCCACCCAACTGAAAGCAAAGTAGAGTCCTTCATCGTTGAGCGAGACGTCGACTGGATTGTCAGCAAAATTGGCTCTGACTGCTCCTATATTATCGTCGAGATCCTTTGACGTGAGACCATACTTATTATCAACATGGCTCCGTAGAATCCTCAGATTAGGAAGATTATGGCAGACATCACCGTTCCTCAGAGAGTGGTGTAGTGCTTCTTGCCCTTGAACCTCAAATTGAAGTTTTGAGCGAAAATATCCATTCCTTTGATGGTAGCATAAGCGTTGGCTAGGAATCCCATTTTATTTTATATTTATATAGTGCTCTCTCATCTCGGGGTTTTGGGGTTTTGGGGTTTTGGGGTTTTGGGGTTTTGGGG